AAAAAAAAAGAGAAAAAATCGGAAAAGGGGGAAAAATCGGGAAAAAGGAAAAATCGGAAAAAAGGGAAAAAATCGCAACAGTGCATCATAGACATTCGAAAGTGTATAGTCAGCCGAAAACACAGAGAAACGAGTCATACGAAACGTGTCAATGTAACGGATCCATTTGTGTTTTACTAGAATGAGACGGCTTGTTGAACCAAATGAGAGAGTGCTAGTACCTTCGAAATGGTAGAAGAAGAGAAAGAAGGGTTAGAAAAAGCGCAAAGGGACGAAGTGACAAGCAGATTCGAACCAAAGGGAAAAGAATCTTAATCGAGCCATTGAAAACGTTACAAGATTAGGCCGTGTATCTAGAAAACCTAGGAGTTTTAGTTTTAAATTCTTGTAAACTGCGTGTTACAATTTGTACAGTTGTGTACTATGTATGTAGTGGCCTCGAGCTGGCCTCGACCCGAGTCCTCGAGTTCGGAGGGCTCAAGTCCGAGTCCGAGTCATTGCACTCCGAGGCTAAGACCGAGACCGAGACCAAGAAAAACTGTCTCGAGGCCTACAACACTGGTGTGTTGGTGCGTGCGTGCATGCGTGCGTGTGTGTGTGTGTTCGTGCGCTTGTATGAAAGAGTGTTCATTCGTGCGTGTGGTTGTGCATGCGTGTGTGCATCTGTGTGTCAGAGAGATAGAGAGAGTGTGTGCATGCGTGTGTGAGAGAGGGAGTGCATGCCTGTGTGTCACTGTGTGTGAGAAAGAGGGAGACATAGTGTGTGTATGTATGAGAGAAAGAGGCGAGATTAGAAATCGCCACTAAGCGTGATGCCGGTGTGCGTCTAATCGTTGGGTTTCTCATTACACAGGTAAACATACAGAGAGAGAGAGAAAGAGAGAGAAGGAGAGAGAGAGAGAGAGAGAAGGAGAGATAGAGAGAGAAAGCGATAGAAAGAAAGAGAGAGTGATATGCCTGCGTGTTTCTAATCGCTGGTTTTCTCTTTCCAGCTAAAATTAACGAGACTGTCAACTTTGGCGAAGAGGGACAGGAAGATGACATTGAGTTTGACGACCTCAGAGGTGACGATGAGTTTGACGATGTAAGTATGTCGAGGACTTTGTACGGGTGACAACATTTTGCTATCATACACCGCTTGTGTTAATGCTTGAACACTTTTGCCCTGATCGAATCAACCAATGAGCTAGTTTTGTATTTGGAAAATCGCAGTGCATTCGGAGGCCTATTTGGCAATCACTAATGAGGAATTGGAGTATGCCAGGAATGAGGCTTTTTCTCGCTTCCGAGTAATTCCTCTGGGCTTTACTGCATCATTCGATCAGATTCAGTCAATTTTGCAAAACGTCTGTATTTTAACAGAAAGGTTGTTTTAGAAAGAAGGGGGCAATTAAGAATGCAAAGGCTGGCAATATCTCTATTGAACAAAAAAGTGCTTTGTCAAAAAGACCGTGTTACTTTTGTTTACATCAGCACTGTCGACTGTCATCGTGGTGTTTATATTGTGAATATAAAAGATGTAAACGAGCGTAGCAAGGTTTCTAGATAACGTCAACGGCATAGGTTTTCTTGCACCACTTGTCGGCAGAGAGAGCAAGCAAAATTTACTCTGAATAGTAAGAAAAAAAAAGAAAACAAATAGAAAAGAATAAATAAATAAAAAAAGATATATATATATTTATATTCTATTATTTATATAATAGAATAGTAGTCTGTTTAAGGATCTAATGTTTTGATTCTCTACTATTTACAGATATGAGTTGGGTGCTTGCCGGCAGCTTGCCTGTTCGGCGTCGTCTCGTAACAGCAAGGAGGGACGACTTTGGTATAGACCCATCGTGGTTATATGCTGCGGCGGCGGCATCTGCAGAAGAGACATTCTACATTCTCTCTCGCGCCTCACATTTTACAATACATTCTATGGCACATAATTTTTCTACAGTTTATTTTCGGAGGAGTCCTTACTAATTAAATTTTTTAACACGAGATCTAATCGTCGACTGCCGTCGAGATTAATTAAAAATTGTGCGGAGTTGCACGTTGAATATTGTACACTGTCGAGTTATGCTTTAGTTAAATTCGATCGTGAGCGTAGACAGTTTTCAGTGACTCGTATGGAAAGCGGTTTGTGCCAATATAATCGAAAATGTCGGTTTTACGTCGATAAACTGGGTTTTACGGTCGTAAATCTAGGTTTATCGACGTAAAACCGGGTTTATCAAATTAAACTATCAATATCGCCCGATTTATCCATATTATAACTGAAACTATATGTCGTTTATAAGATATTACAATCCTTTTGCTTTTAAATGAATAAATAAGAAATACCCTCGGTCTGTAGCCCTTGGCTGGAAAGTGGTTTTGCGCAACTTCTCAGATCGTGCGCTTTGAGTGGCGCCACCGTCGTTGTAATCAAACTGTAGTCGTTAGTTTTAAAACATTTTTTTTAAATATTTCTAATGGTGATTGAACCATGAAACTTTTTATGTAGCGCAATTATAACCTAAATTAGCTGTAAATAAACCCTAGAACCTAGAGGCTACTGTTCCTTTAAGACTATTACTGGTACTGGTAGGTCTAGTACTGACAAGTTGTATTTATTAACCATCATTTTTATTATTGAAACGGCCCAAGTGTCTGTGCCCCCATGCATAGATCAATGCTGCTGCACATCGGCAAAGTTGCAAGTGGCTCGAATCTTTAAGTATATACAGTTCACGTTGCTTCTAGATATCTAACTGAATAAAAACAGTCCACTTTCTACGTTGAGAAAAGTGACGCAGCTTTGATTTAATACGTGCGTGTCAGACTGTCAGGTGTCACTGATCGTGCCCTCACTCCCCACGCTAACCCCTGCGATATATAAACTTATAATTGTTATGCGGTCTGGCCTGGCGGTTAACACTGGCCTGCACTACATGCCGGCGATGCCACAATCGATTTCTTAGACTGTCGCGAGTTTTTGTTCGTGTGGCGAATCATGCGTTGAGGGGGGAGTTCATACAGCTCTAGATGTTTTGGATAGCTGTCTACGTTGAGGAACGGGTCGTGTTATGGGCTCCTGTTTACAAGTCTGTCTAAACTGCCGTTGCGATAACCGTAGTATTTCAGCGTAATATGAGGGGAAAAAGTGCCAGTCAGGAGGACCGGCAGTTTCGTAGAGATGGTGGCCCGAGCAAAAACTTGGTGGGCTCGGGCTTTCGGGTTGGAACTAATTTCGAACGCTGCCGGCGGCACGGGAGCGATTTTTTTTCGTGTCTTCCAAAATTTCCGCTCTCGTAATTGTTGTTACCAGAGCGCTTTGAAAGCTGACGGCAGCGAAATCGCTCGCCGCTCCATAATCGTCGTTCTTCGATTTCCGAGTTCTCTCCTCCCTTCTAGTTTTTCAAGTTTCTGGGTTCCTTCCATTCTCCGAGTTTCTTAAGTCTCTCTCTCTCTCTCTCTCTCTTTCTCTCTCTCTCTCTCCTTCTCTCTCTCTGGCGCAGGTGTGGATCAACCAGGGAGACATAATCCTTCTCTTATTTCTAAGTTTCCCCCTCCCTTCTAGTTTCCAAGTTTCTCTCTCTCTCTTTCTTTCTCTCTCGCCGGCGTGCAGGTGTGGATTAACCAGGGAGACATAATCCTCGTCATTCTCCGATTTCCGAGTTCTCCTCTCCCTTCTCCTAGTTTCTCAAGTTTCTGGGTTCCTTCCCTTCTCCGAGTTTCTCACGCTTCTCTCTCTCTCTCTCTCTCCGGTGCAGGTATGGGTCAACCAGGGAGACATTCCCCTTCGTTTTCCGAGTTTTCCCCCTGCCTTCTCCGATTTCCGACTTCTCTCTCAAGTCTCTTCTCCGAGTTTCTCAAGTTTCTCTCTGAATTCATATTTATCTTGTGTTTTAAAATCCAAGAAATTAACTTACTATTGAAATTTTTGTCGATGGACATCCTGATGAAGATTTCCCGAAGGGAGATCGAATATTTCGATAGTATCTTATAGTAAGTAAAATTTCTTGGATTTAACACAAGTTAAATATGAATTCATAGGTTTCGACGAAATCCAATGAACTTATTTCATTAATTTATTTCTCTCTCTCTCTCTCTCTGTCTCCGTTGCACAGGTGTGGATCAACCAGGGAGACATAATACTCGTCGGCCTGCGGGACTACCAGGACGCGAAGGCGGACGTCATCCTCAAGTACAACGCGAACGAGGCGAGAAATCTGAAGTCGTACGGAGAACTGCCGGAGAACGGTACGGTCGGTTTATCTACAGTGGAGCGAGAGAGGGAGGGAGGGAGAGGAGAGAGATGGGGCAGAGATAGATAGAGAGAGAGAGAGAGAGAGAGAGAGAGGGGAAGGGAGGGAGGGACGGAGGAGAGAGATGGGGGAGAGATAGAGAGAGGGGGGGAAATAGATAGTGAGATAGAGTAGAGTGAGTGTGTGTGTGTTGCAGTGTTGTAGTCAGTCCAAGTCCGAATTCGAGTCCGCACCCCCCGAGTCCGAGTTCGAGTCTGCGCCACCCGAGTCCGAGTCCGAGTCCGAGTCCAGTTTTGATAAAAAAAAAAGAGAAAAAATCGGAAAAGGGGGAAAAATCGGGAAAAAGGAAAAATCGGAAAAAAGGGAAAAAATCGCAACAGTGCATCATAGACATTCGAAAGTGTATAGTCAGCCGAAAACACAGAGAAACGAGTCATACGAAACGTGTCAATGTAACGGATCCATTTGTGTTTTACTAGAATGAGACGGCTTGTTGAACCAAATGAGAGAGTGCTAGTACCTTCGAAATGGTAGAAGAAGAGAAAGAAGGGTTAGAAAAAGCGCAAAGGGACGAAGTGACAAGCAGATTCGAACCAAAGGGAAAAGAATCTTAATCGAGCCATTGAAAACGTTACAAGATTAGGCCGTGTATCTAGAAAACCTAGGAGTTTTAGTTTTAAATTCTTGTAAACTGCGTGTTACAATTTGTACAGTTGTGTACTATGTATGTAGTGGCCTCGAGCTGGCCTCGACCCGAGTCCTCGAGTTCGGAGGGCTCAAGTCCGAGTCCGAGTCATTGCACTCCGAGGCTAAGACCGAGACCGAGACCAAGAAAAACTGTCTCGAGGCCTACAACACTGGTGTGTTGGTGCGTGCGTGCATGCGTGCGTGTGTGTGTGTGTTCGTGCGCTTGTATGAAAGAGTGTTCATTCGTGCGTGTGGTTGTGCATGCGTGTGTGCATCTGTGTGTCAGAGAGATAGAGAGAGTGTGTGCATGCGTGTGTGAGAGAGGGAGTGCATGCCTGTGTGTCACTGTGTGTGAGAAAGAGGGAGACATAGTGTGTGTATGTATGAGAGAAAGAGGCGAGATTAGAAATCGCCACTAAGCGTGATGCCGGTGTGCGTCTAATCGTTGGGTTTCTCATTACACAGGTAAACATACAGAGAGAGAGAGAAAGAGAGAGAAGGAGAGAGAGAGAGAGAGAGAAGGAGAGATAGAGAGAGAAAGCGATAGAAAGAAAGAGAGAGTGATATGCCTGCGTGTTTCTAATCGCTGGTTTTCTCTTTCCAGCTAAAATTAACGAGACTGTCAACTTTGGCGAAGAGGGACAGGAAGATGACATTGAGTTTGACGACCTCAGAGGTGACGATGAGTTTGACGATGTAAGTATGTCGAGGACTTTGTACGGGTGACAACATTTTGCTATCATACACCGCTTGTGTTAATGCTTGAACACTTTTGCCCTGATCGAATCAACCAATGAGCTAGTTTTGTATTTGGAAAATCGCAGTGCATTCGGAGGCCTATTTGGCAATCACTAATGAGGAATTGGAGTATGCCAGGAATGAGGCTTTTTCTCGCTTCCGAGTAATTCCTCTGGGCTTTACTGCATCATTCGATCAGATTCAGTCAATTTTGCAAAACGTCTGTATTTTAACAGAAAGGTTGTTTTAGAAAGAAGGGGGCAATTAAGAATGCAAAGGCTGGCAATATCTCTATTGAACAAAAAAGTGCTTTGTCAAAAAGACCGTGTTACTTTTGTTTACATCAGCACTGTCGACTGTCATCGTGGTGTTTATATTGTGAATATAAAAGATGTAAACGAGCGTAGCAAGGTTTCTAGATAACGTCAACGGCATAGGTTTTCTTGCACCACTTGTCGGCAGAGAGAGCAAGCAAAATTTACTCTGAATAGTAAGAAAAAAAAAGAAAACAAATAGAAAAGAATAAATAAATAAAAAAAGATATATATATATTTATATTCTATTATTTATATAATAGAATAGTAGTCTGTTTAAGGATCTAATGTTTTGATTCTCTACTATTTACAGATATGAGTTGGGTGCTTGCCGGCAGCTTGCCTGTTCGGCGTCGTCTCGTAACAGCAAGGAGGGACGACTTTGGTATAGACCCATCGTGGTTATATGCTGCGGCGGCGGCATCTGCAGAAGAGACATTCTACATTCTCTCTCGCGCCTCACATTTTACAATACATTCTATGGCACATAATTTTTCTACAGTTTATT